CACATCCACTGTTCGGGAACCTGCTCAAACGGGAAGTCTGATTTTTCCCAACGGGTACTCTAGATTGGCATTGAAGTCGAATAGTGGATAAGGGACCGGAGAGAGATCTGATTCGGAGAAGCCAAGTTTGGTGAATGTCTTATAGTACATAATCTCCGATGTGCTCCTCGGATCAATGAGTACGCACTCAACTGTGAAACGGTTTATGCGTAACTCAATTACCAAGGGATTAATGTGGGGCAGTGTTACTCCGGCCAAATCCGAATCATCAAAAGTAATAACCTCGGCTTCATGGGGCCGTTTAGCCAGAGTGAGTTAGTCTTGAGGGTTAGACTTCGACTGAATCGCATGCACCGCCAATGACATTGGCAGGCTGTATATCATGTGGATCACGCCGAACGGAGGTGAATCCTGTCTCAAGGCTATTGCGTTGGTTGGGTCGCCTTTTCGGACGTACTGTTGTAGCCGGTCATTTTGTACCGATTCCTGTAGGAGGTCATTTAGTGCATAACAACTATCAGTATCATGGCCATGGTCTCTGTGATACTCACACCGTCTAGCCCTTCTTCTAGCGCCAGATTTATAGTCATACAAGGTGGATGACGGTGCTTTGAATTTCTTGGGTAGCACTGCCTTTGCAGTCCGTCGTACAAAAGGATCGTGTTGATCTTCATCCGAACTATTTTTTCTTCGCTTATGCCTTATACGGGGACTCTCTTCAGAAGAACTAGAAGTTTCAGATCGTCCCTTCTTCTTGAGCTCCGGGGATAATGAGTCGGAGTTGCTATCAGTATCTTGTTGTCGGGCTCGAGATCGTCGACCACCTACCATCACAGGTTGTTCCGAGCCTCGGTGTGCAGCTTGTTTGGATTTCGCCACCTCCAAGGCCAAATCTTGACCGAGACGTTTGTTCTCTGCAATCATGTTCTCTAACCTTTGTTCGTTTTGCTTTGCTTGTTCCATGATCGCTTGCATTGCTTCATGCTCTGAAGTCGAGGGTGAGGTGAAGTTCAGAGTGCGTCTTACGGGGATGGTCTCCGGTCCAAGCATGTTTGATGGAGTGAGATCATCTCTCTGCGTGGTTTCATTAGTGACTATAGGAGGGTCTTCCGTTACGCCCGCCATGGATGTGTTTGAGTATTCCCACAGACGGCGCAATTGTGGAGAAATGGTTTTGGAAATACTCTTCTGATCTTGGGAGACGCTAATGATCCTCTTCTAGACACTTGAAAAGGAATAAACACTCTGATCAGGGGTGCCAGAATTAGCACTCTGACGGGTAAGTTAGTCTTCACACTCAAGTTTACTTGTATTCTAAATTAAGCACAGTAGTTCTCACATACCTCTTTCTGGTTGATGTTTTTCTATTTATATCTTTTCTTCCATGGGCCTCGGGATTAGGTCCATTTCCAACTCCCTATTCGGCACATTCTGTAGTAGACTGCTCTTTACTCGGTCCCTTGCTAAATCGGCTATTTGGCCGAGTAGAATTGGATTAGAGCTTGCGAGTCGATGCCGAGTGCCACGAATTTTGACTCTCCCAGGTCTGACTATCCAGAATCTCTACGACTCCCAATACTCGGCCCCCACAGTATGGCAACATGCTTACACTTTGACATTTGAAAATTCCTTTTACTTGGTCAACCACCAATTGAGAATCTCTAAATATATCAACTGCATGAGTTTGTAATCCAATAAGTATTTCCAACTCTATTATCAAAGCTTCATATTTAGCTTGATTATTGGAACGAGTAATTTCATCTACTCTGAAACCATGTGTGGTTTCTACCCTTTGTGGTAACTTAATCACCACACCAATTCCAGTTAGGCCATTGGCTTTTGATCCATCGAACCACATTTGCCATGGTTCAATACTAACCATACCAAGTTCTATTATCTCTTGGTTTTCTGTTTGACATGGATGATCTGCCAAAAAATTAGCCAATACTTGTCCTTTCACTGCTTTTTGGGAAATATATTCTAGATGAAATTCTGATAAAGCTAGTATCCATTTGCAAATTCTTCCTCTTAACATAGGTCTAAACAACATATATTTAACCAAATTTGTGGTTGTAATTACCAAGACAGTTGTAGGCAAAATATAGTATCTTAATTTCATTGCAACAAAATACAATGCAAGGCACAGCTTTTCTACAGCTGAATATTTACATTCACAAGAATTTAGAAACCTACTAAGGTAATAAACTGCTTGCTCCTTGCCTTCTTCATTATCCTGGGCTAAAAAAACTTCCAGTGAATCTTCTGCTGCAGCTATATATAGCTTCAAGGGCTAATCACCCTTTGGTGGCATCAGCACCAGAGGATTGGCCAAGTAGGCTTTGATTCCTTCGAAGGCAGTCTGATGCTCTGCTGTCCACACAAAATCCTCTTCATCTTTCAGCCTTAATAAGGAAAAAAATACTTTAGTTTTCCCTGCGGTATTAGAAATAAATCTTCGAAAAAAATTAACCTGTCCAAGGAATTTTTGTACTTTTTTCTTACTTGATGGAGGCCTGGCTTCGATGATGGCTTTGGCTTTGTTCTGATCAATCTGTATTCTCTTCTTGTGTACTATATAGCCCAAGAAGTTTCCAGCTGATACGCCAAAAGCACATTTAAGAGGATTAAGTTTTAACTTGAACTTTTTCATTCTTTCAAAAACTGCTTCCAAGTGAAACAAGTGCTCCTCCATGGACTGGGACTTTACTACAATATCATTAATATAACACTCTAAATATCCTCCAGTTAGATCATGAAAGATAGTGTTCATAGCCCTTTGATATGTAGCCCCAGCATTCTTCAGACCAAATGGCATTTTGACCCATTCGAAGGTGCCAAGGTTCCCAGGACATATGAATGCTGTCTTATGGATATCTTCCTTTGCAATACAGATTTGGTTATAACTAGAGTGTCCACACCTAAATGTTGTCTTATGGATATCTTCCTCTGCAATGCAGATCTGCTTATAACCAGAATGTCCATCCATCATAGGTAAAATATTGTTTTCTGCTGAACTGTCCACCAATAAATCTACTATGGGCATGGGGTATTCATCTTTTGGGATTGCTAAATTTAAGTTTCTGAAATCAATGCATACCCTCATCTTCCCATTCTTCTTAACTACAGGCATAATATTGGATAGCCATTCAACATACCTGGCCGTCCTAATAAAACCTGCCTTAAGGAGTCTAAGGGTTTCCTCCTTAACCTTTTGAATCACTTCAGGACTCATCCTCCTTGGTTTTTGCTTGTATGGCTTGAAATTAGGCTTCATAGGGAGCCTATGTTCCACTAATGTCCTATCCAACCCTGATAATTCATTATAAGACCATGCAAAACAATCTTTATATTTCTTTAAGACTACCAATAATTGGTCTCTGTCAAGAGCACTTAACCAAGCACTAATGTAGGTGGGTTGTTGAGTAGAACCTTCCCTTAAGTTAACTTCTTCCAAGGGATCTTGTATCTGAGAACTCACTGATACTCCTTTTTTGATTTCTTCTGCCTTCGAGGCAATTTCCTTGCTCTGTTCTGTTCCCAGCTTCCTTGATTCAACATCTTTACCCTCCTCCTCATAAACAAAGTTTGTCCATAAGACATCTTCTTCCTGTATCTCCTGGACTTTTGTTTCAATGTCCAAAGCACAATATTTATCAAAGGCTAAAACCCTGACCTGCTGCTGCTTCTGGTTACAACTAACTATCATGGCTTCTTTCACTTGCTCTTGTACCTTCTGGACTATTGATTTTATGTCCAATGCTGAGAACTTAATTAAAGCCAAAGTTCTGGTCTTCTGGGCTCCATCTTCTTGCCTATAACCGGCATCATTGTCATCTTTGACGACAAATTCCTCGTCAGCACTCTTTTGGACCAAGTGCTTTAGGTGTGCTAATTCCTCATCGGCTGTCACTTCGGCTGATCCATCAGGTTTTCTTAGTACACTGAGTGGTGTCACTCCTTCAGTGTACAATTTGGCCTCTGCAAAATCTGCACAAGCTATGAAGGGTTGAGGATCCGCATTGATCTCCTCTGTTTCTCCATTGCTCAAGGCCATCATCACCTTCTGATGTAGGGAGGAAGGCACACACTTGTTGGTGTGAATCCAATCTCTACTAAGTAGAGCATTATACTTAGCATTGCTGTCGATGACGAAGAATGCTACCATGCAGTCCCTGGTTCCCACACTCAGGTTAATGGGTAAAATGCCCTGAGCCATCTGCTTGTCTCTAGCAAAACTAGCAATGGTTGTGCTAGTTGAGATCAGTCTGGCGTTTCTCTTTCCTAGTTTCTTCAAAGAAGATTTTAGAAGCAGGTTTACTGCTGCCCCATTGTCTACCAACACCTGGTTCATCTGTATCCCATCGAAGAAGGCCTTGATGTACAAGGGTTTGATATGTTGTGTTATAGATGTCGTGGGATATTCGAAAGGGTATGAGAGGTTGATGCTCACCTCTTCCTCGCTCTCGTCTCCAATGTCCATTGGTGCGGCCACTTCGGATTCGTCTTGCACCATACTAACCTGTGACTCCTCACTAGAAACTGGAATTGGGTCAAGCTCCTGACCTTCTTCATTCCCATTCCCAGCTTGGAATTCCTGTGGTAGTATGTGTACCATATTCACCGATACTGGAAGAAACGAGCCGAATTTAACTGTTGGCTGATCTTGTTTCTTTTCCAAGTTAACTTGTTTAGTTACCTCAGAAGCATCCTCTATGCTACATTCTGGAACTTCCGTACTAACAGCTTCCTTCGAATGGTCTGCAACTACTGGTTCCTTGACCACAAATGTTTGTTCAGGCATGAAGGCTTCAAACATCTCTTCCTCGACCATTTCTTTCTTTTGGCCTAGGCCAATCTCCACTTCCGTTTCACTGTCACTCTCCATTAGAGCTCTCTCAAGACCTACTAAGATTAATTTTTCCTTGGCTTTTAATTCAGAGTGAACTTTGGCCAATTGTTCCCTGCTGACATTTCTTTTATTTTGGGCAGTTGATTTTGGCTTATGGTCCAATTTTAGACCTTTTTTTCCTTCTATCTGGCTCCTTGACTGAGCCATTAAAGAACTTTCCCCGCTCTCCTTCAGATCCTTCTGGTATTGAGTATACCTCCGTTGGATCTTCCTTCTCTGGGATCTAGAAATTACTAGAACCATATCTAGTTCCTTTGTTTTTGGGTGCTTCAGCAACACCCAATTGTTTGGAGCCACCAAGGGTGGTTTAACCATTCTACCTTGATCACTAGCAACATTTCTCTATGTAGGTACTTCCCTTGGCTGGTTTTGCATTACAAACCAATTTGGCACCCCAGGTACCCATGATCCTACTGGCTCAATCGATGAACTGATTCTTTCTACTTTCGAAGCTAGCTTCGAAGCTGTCTGTGGAGAATCTTGCTTGGTTCTGCCTCCTTATCTCAGGCCTAACTCAGGCCTTCTATAAGGGTAGCTGCTGTCTATCTTGTGTGTGGCTGGTCTGGGAGGCCATTCTATGTCTCTGGTCCCATGCCTTTCTCTGTCTCTGGTCCCCTGCCTTAAGCTTGCTTCCGGTCCCCTGCCTTAAGCCTGCTTCCAGTCTCCTTTCCAGATGGTTGCCCTCCATTCTGTAATAGTTGGGTGGTCTGACCTCATGTAGAGGCCTCTTGCCCTTAGAATACATTTTGGTGGCTGTTGGTTCAACCAAGAATGCTTGTTGTCTAAGATCGGCTGGATATGGCCTTTTGTTATAAGCACTGGTTGGTTTAGGACGCCTTTGTACATCCTTGTAATATTGCTTCCCATCAATTAGAAGCCCTTTCAACCACTTGTAGCTCAACCTGCACCTGGGACACATTCTTTGCATGACTGCTGCCTTCAAAGAATCGTCATCCAGTGCTTCGTCATCAGAGTCTTCCCTCTGGTTTGCAGAGCCCTATCCAATAGTTGGTGAGCTTCTGGCATCTCTTTTGACAGTATTCTGGTTGGCAACATGTATTTGCACATTGACTTCTTCCAATTCCTTCAAGGATAAATTCTAGAAGTTTGGCACAATAACATTGGTTGCAATTTCTCTGATTTCTGGGAACGGATTAGTGTCAATCCCCATAGCCTTTTCTGCTTTAGTCGGGAATTTTAAACTTCCTTTCCAAATTTGTTCTTGGACCCTGTCTCGAAAAACAATGCAGTTTTTAGTTGAGTGTGACCAAGAATTATGTCATTTACAATATATTTTTCCTTTAAGTTCCTTTGGAGATGGAATCTTGACTCCTTTTAGTAACTTTAGGAAATTCGCAGTAAGCAAGTGATCAAAAATGTCATCTGCTTTTGTTAAATCGAAAGAATATTTCCTATGAAGGTCTTTCTTTTTGAACTGCTGATCAATTCTGGTGTCTTTATGAATCAATGCTTCACAAATCACAGGCTCCTTTCCTATGATTTCTGCTGCATCAATCTCATAGTTAGGATCTCTATAATATGTCTTATATAATGTATTACTTCGATCTTGCTCTTCTTCGAGTAATGACTCATACCTGGACACCTTATAGGTCAATTCTACCAAGTCTCGAAACTCAGTTGAATCAAACTTCTTTCGCAGCCTAAATTCTAAGCCATTCTAAGCCAATCTAAAAAATTCAGGCTCTGGCAAAATGACTCTACATTTATTTCGTGCCCTTTTGAATCTGGCAATAAATTGAGCAGTCTTCTCATCAAACCTCTGACTCAATCTTGTCAGGTCTGCCATAGAAACTTCTGGCTCCGTTTGGAAGAATTGGGCGTGGAAGGCCTCTTCCATTTGTTACCAAGTCTGAATAGAGCCAGGGGTTAGATTAATGTACCATATAAAGGCTGCCCCAGTTAAAGAATTTGGGAACAGTCTTAACTTCATGTAGTCATTATTAGTAAATTCACCACATTAAGCAATGAACCTAGCAATATGTTCTACCGTTGATTGGTTTCCATTTCCATAAAAAAGACCAAAATCTGGTATTCTGAACCCTCTTGGGTATTCATGTAATCTATCTATCCATTCTGGATATGGTTTCTTATATACAGGAGTTTGAACCCCCCGAGACATTGGTCCATATATCTCTCTAACAATATCAGCAATTTGGTCCCTAGGGACTATATTTTGTGCTTGTTGAACCACTATTGGAGGAGCAAACACAGGATTTGGTGGGCAACCTTGTGCTTGAGCTCCTCTTGGTCCGTAGGGAGGTATATTTGGGACTGGTTGTCCCTGTGGCACTGGTTGCTATTGAGGGTATGGATGACCCCTCCGAGCCTGTCCTGCGAAAGGTCCTGCAAAAGGTGTTGGAACAGGTGTTGTTTCTCTTCAAAGTGCAAGAAATCCTTCCAACCCCCCGGGTGTAAATTCGAATAGAGGATTAGTGAACCCCTTTGTGTTAGGTATGGCTTCGAACATGGGATTTGGGAACATTCTTATGACATTCTCTTGTGTTGGCCCAGATCCACCAATTTGTATGGCTTCACTGTTAAGAAATGAGGCATTTTGATTAATCACAGGCCTCAAAAGAGGCTCATACCAAGACTGAGGTGCTGGTCTTTTTGAACTTTGACCATTAGTATGTCCATTGCTTTGCATAGGCTGTTTATCTCTAGTCAATTTTTGCTGAGGGACATTTTCCTCTACATGCCTTGTGTTAGTTGGTTGATGAGTATTCATTCAATCCATAAAGGATACTGCCCACCTTTCCATTGTGTTCATCAACTGTTGTCCCATAGCATCTATCATGTCTCCCCATAGATTTATTGGCTGAGTAGATGGGACAGTGGATGGTCCAATTCCATGGCCTCGTCCAATATTTTGAACATGTGGTATTTGTTCTGAAGTGCTGGTTTGTTCGACCATGGGTTTTGATAAGGCAGGTACTTCCACAGGATGTGTTATCACATTATCCTCCGGATTAGGTATCTCTACCTCTTCTTCTGCACCTTTTTCCAGGCGCTCAATTTCTCATTGTCTTCTACGTCTAGCCATTTCAATTAGTCCCACTGGGCGTGCCAAAAATATATGTTGGCTTTTTGGCTTTCGAAGGTTATTTTTGTAATTTTGACTGTGCCAGCAAGGTTCAATCAGTCCTTATAAAAGATTAATTGCCAACCAATTATCAGACGATTGGGTTTTAGTTCTTTCAGTCTCAATGAAGAGGACTTTTACTGGTGGCTTGATTTAGGAGAATTAGGCAGATAATAATCAAAATGAAGAATAATTGTAGCATTTCATTAAGTAAAATGAAAGACTTACAATGATCCGATTCAGCCTCGTAGAGGTTTGCAGTAACAAACTACTTTGAAACTACTTCTATGAACGAAGTGTAGTACAGGAATTTGAAGTACAGAAATGTAAAGAACAAGAAATGTCAAAACTGGAAGGAAAAATAAAGAAGATAAAACTGGTATTTGGATCTGAGTTCGTCCATCATTCTGAGGCCTTCTCTGCTATTTATACTGTCTTGTGGTAACCGTCGAAATAAGCTTCTAACCGTCGAATCATCCTTCCATGATTGCTGATCATGCTTTCTTACAGTTAGCTCCACTACGCCATATCTGCAGTTGGGCTTCCCTCTTAATTTTGAATTCAAATATAGGAATAACCGTTAAAGCCACGTCATCTCGCAACTCTTTGCTAATCTAGTGCTATGCAGATCCACCATAACCAATAGTAACTGCCACGTGTGTAATTACGATTGAAGATTTGAATTGTCTTCTCGTATTGTCCTCATTCTGCCACGTGTTGAACTGTGATTGGCACGTACAAAATATATAGCCAACAGTATTATAGCATTACTCGTATATATATTTATTTATAATAAGAATGCAAATATATAGAAATAGTAATAACAACTTAAACTTATAGTTGTTATGATTTCTAATTTCATTTTTTATTTTTTATTTATTTGCAAAAGATGACAAATTTCACAAATAATTTTTAATGATTTCTAAAATTTATGTTATGTGAGATTTTATTTGTTAATATTTTAATTGTGTCAACTAAAATAGTCAATTTTCATAAAATTAAAAACTCATAATTTAATTTATTACAAATTTATGAAAAAAAACCCATGTCTATTTCATTTGATTTTTTAAAATTGATGTTTAGATGACTTTTTTGTTTGTTTTGTAGTTTCCTTTTTTCTTGTTAATTAGACCCAAGGCACAGGCGGCTTGCATAGGTTTTTCAATTTTTTTTATGGTGTTTGCTTTAATTGAAATAAAATATTGTAGAATGATTATTTGGCAGAGGTTAAAGAGGAATAATTTCATTCCAATTTAACAGCCTTCAGTTTCATTTCAATTAATTAAAAATTATTTGAAATTATTATTATTTAAAAAATCTCATTTTTAGAAGTAAATGGAGAGAAAGATTAAATAAATTGAAAGGTTTATTTATAGGGTTGGTTGAGCATATCATCTATTAAAAAAGTCAAATTAATTGGATATGTTTTGAATTGTTCATTTCATGTTATTTTAAAAAAATAAGAAGTCTTTTTATCTAACTGTTAGCGAAAACATGGAGACATTATCCTTTTTATAAAATTAAAAAAAAAAAATGATCGAAAAGTTTATTTGCACACTATATGAACTTTCAATACACGCCACAGTTGTTGTTTAGATAAAAATTTTAGAATGAATGTTAAATGTTTGGATTTAAAATTATGAACATTTGACTTTTGTTTGAATATTTATATCCGAATACTATATATGTCTAATTTTGATGTATTTAAAAAGAAAAAAAAAATTGAATAAAATATTTTAAAAAATCAGTAAAGACAAACGAATATTCATTTAAAAGTAATTTTTTAAAATGGAAACCAAACAAAGTCTGGTTTTAATTATTAATAGTTATAAATTTTGTGACTAATTTGTAATTATTTTGTTAAAAAAAATATTATTTGAAAATTTGATTATTCATATTTTAAGAGATAAATGAAATAAGCTAATGTGTTTATTTTTATTAGGTAAATCTGTTTTTTTGTAGAGGACCTGCGTTTGATTTGAGTAATAAAACAAGTTCTGAAGTTTGACTTAGTTATATTAGACATTCTTAAAGTTTGAGGTAATGTTATACTTATACTTATTTTCATAAATAATTTGCTGCACATAAAAGTGAAACCAAACGAACAAACACCTAGGGCTGTTATCCGAAGATGCATCGAACTACTTGGAAAATATGTTTCCAAAATATACATGGCAATAGTTTAATGTTGTATTCTTGTGTTAGTTTTTTGTTTTCATTTTATGACTTACTTTCCCAAAAAAAAGGCAATAGTTTAATGACATTTAACAAAAGATCTATTTCAAAGTTTGACACAGTTGAACCCTTTGGATTTGATCAATTGGAAAGTGTTTTGGAAAACCTTAATCTCATCACTAAAGATTGCCACTTGTATGTTTGTTCCCTGTAATACATTACTGAAAATATTACATGGTGGATAGAAATTGAGAAAGCATAGGTGATATGGAAAACCATACTCATCATAAACCCACCAAAATGTAAACATTGACATGCTTTCATTATATCTGAAGTGATTAAATTTTCAATGTAAACATTGCATGCGGTATGATGCCCATTATAAGGGATGAAAATATTTTTGATTGCATTTGACTGTTTTGTTTGGTACACGTTGTTACCAATAAATGAAAATAATCAGAATTTAGGAGAAGCAAAAAGTAAGTTCAAAAATTCATTGGTTATAAATAGAATTTAGAAAACAAAAAATTCATTAACTAAGTTTCTTTTAAACCTGTCTTTATATTTAATAAAAGAAGGTAGAAAAGTGTCAATACTAATATGCACAACCAAAATGACAATTGTAAATATGTGAATACCATATCATGTGATACATTATATATACAAAAGTTCAAACTGTATGTTTCATTATGTAGAACCAAAATAAATATTATGTAGAACCAAAATAAATATTCTGGCTGATTGATCTTTTGCGTCTACTAATGAAAACATTGAAGAAAACTCAAAACCGCAAAAGATCAGCTGATCAAACTCCATCATGTCACTTTGTTCACTAAAAAAAGAAAAAGGTCCATCATGTCACCCATTCGAAGCCTGAAATAGAAATAGTTACAGGTTAGTCTTGTCAATCAAATTGGGAAAATTTCTAAGTAGCATTCTGCCTGAATGATGCAAAGAATGCAAGATAAAATGACAATTTTTTTTATGGTGTTTGCTTTAATTGAAGTAAAATATTGTAGAATGATTATTTGACAGAGGTTAAAGGAGAATAATTTCATTCCAATTTAACAGCCTTCAGTTTCATTTCAATTAATTAAAAATTATTTGAAATTATTATTATTTAAAAAATCTCATTTTTAGAAGTAAATGGAGAGAAAGATTAAATAAATTGAAAGGTTTATTTATAGGGTTGGTTGAGCATATCATCTATTAAAAAAGTCAAATTAATTGGATATGTTTTGAATCGTTCATTTCATGTTATTTAAAAAAAATAAGAAGTCTTTTTATCTAACTGTTAGGGAAAACATGGAGACATTATCCTTTTTATAAAATTAAAAAAAAAAAATGATCGAAAAGTTTATTTGCACACTATATGAACTTTCAATACACGCCACAGTTGTTGTTTAGATAAAAATTTTAGAATGAATGTTAAATGTTTGGATTTAAAATTATGAACATTTGACTTTTGTTTGAATATTTATATCCGAATACTATATATGTCTAATTTTGATGTATTTAAAAAGAAAAAAAAATTGAATAAAATATTTTAAAAAATCAGTAAAGACAAACGAATATTCATTTAAAAGTAATTTTTTAAAATGGAAACCAAACAAAGTCTGGTTTTAATTATTAATAGTTATAAATTTTGTGACTAATTTGTAATTATTTTGTTAAAAAAAATATTATTTGAAAATTTGATTATTCATATTTTAAGAGATAATAAGCTAATGTGTTTATTGTTATTAGGTAAATCTGTTTTTTTGTAGAGGACCTGCGTTTGATTTGAGTAATAAAACAAGTTCTGAAGTTTGACTTAGTTATATTAGACATTCTTAAAGTTTGAGGTAATGTTATACTTACACTTATTTTCATAAATAATTTGCTACACATAAAAGTGAAACCAAACGAACAAACACCTAGGGCTGTTATCCGAAGATGCATCGAACTACTTGGAAAATATGTTTCCAAAATATACATGGCAATAGTTTAATGTTGTATTCTTGTGTTAGTTTTTTGTTTTCATTTTATGACTTACTTTCCCAAAAAAAAGGCAATAGTTTAATGACATTTAACAAAAGATCTATTTCAAAGTTTGACACAGTGGGCGCTGCCCCTCGACCCCGCCGTGGCGCTGTCCCAGACCCGCTAAGGGGCGCTGCCCCCTCGACCCCCGCGAGCTGACCGGGCAGCTCGATCCCTGTCATAATCAGCGAAGTGGCAATCTTGAAAGCTTTATCATCACAAACTTCTCTGAATAGCACAATTCGGGTTGGATTCGCATCTAAATACTCATAGCCTCACTGAAATAACAATGCGAATAAAATTACAACTCAAAGGAGTTTTGTCAAACGGAATTGCCAAGAAATAAAACCTAACAGAAGTGATTAAATTTTCATTGTCAACAGAACAAAAACACAAAAGAATTGTTGCACGCGGTATGATGCCCATTATAAGGGATGAAAATATTTTTGATTGCATTTGACTGTTTTGTTTGGTAAACGTTGTCACCAGTAAATGAAAATAATCAGAATTTAAAATTAAAGAATTTAGGAGAAGCAAAAAGCAAGTTCAAAAATTCATTGGTTATAAATAGAATTTAGAAAACAAAAAATTCATTAACTAAGTTTCTTTTAAACTTGCCTTTATATTTAATAAAAGAAGGTAGAAAAGTGTCAATACTAATATGCACAACCAAAATGACAATTGTAAATATGTGAATACCATATCATGTGGTACATTATATATACAAAAGTTCAAACTGTATGTTTCATTTTTCCCAACATCATGCAGAACCAAAATAAATATTCTGGCTGATTGATCTTTTGCGTCTACTAATGAAAACATTGAAGAAAACTCAAAACAGCAAAAGATCAGCTGATCAAACTCCATTATGTCACTTTGTTCAATAAAAAAAGAAAAAGGTCCATCATGTTACCCATTCGAAGCATGAAATAGGAATAGTTACAGGTTAGTCTTGTCAATCAAATTGGGAAAATTTCTAAGTAGCATTCTGCCTGAATGATGCAAAGAATGCAAGATAAAATGAAGAGCAGTAGTTTGCACCCAAAAAATAAGAAAAAGAAAAAAGAAAAGGTAAATGACTGGAATCCTCACTATCATATGTCATGAAGCAATTATACCAAAGCAGATAGCCATATGAATTTGTTAAATGGAATGCTAACTAAAATTCGAAAGAGAAGTATCAAAGAAGATCTTGCAATGCTTTATTTAATGTGGGTCTCGTATGCAAAATATCAACTATGTTGTGGGCATGATACTAGTAGGCAAAATTCATATGTGTGATCTAGTTTACCTTGTTTCTTCCTAGGATAAACTTTTCACCTTATCTTATTTTTTTGTCATTTCTCAAACTTCATTTGCTTCCCATCTATTTCATCGTAACCTATAAGTCAAAACATAATTCTTAAAACAATTTTTTCATTAATTTTTCCCCCTCAAATCCAGATGTTTTAAATTATCTAAGATGCTACCACATGTAGTTATTTCTCATAAAAGAATTCAGAAACACATTCTATTAACATGGTTCTAATTTTGCAATGGAAAACTACTAATCACTCGATAGATTTATGAATATATACCACTAATGAATAAAGTACTTGACATTATTCAATTGTAGTAGTTGTAGAATTTATCAAGAAACTATTGCATCAGCACATTGAGTTGATAGAATTATTTAATGCAATCAAAACTCACAAAGAAACATACAAATAATCAAGACTTCACTTAAACATATGCTCACAACATTCACAAATAATCTTGGCTTACTTATTGTGATTTGGGTCTTTCGTCCTCCTTTTCTCTAAAAAGCAATAAAGTAGAACTCATTCACATAAGTGATTTCTTGGATTATATATGAGATGATTCACAAGAGTTACGTTATCAATCTCAAGGCCCCTACTGAAAATGCAAATAAGGTATGTGGATGTTCAGCATAAACGTGCAGCTATGTTATAGATGTCTCATAAAATTCAGCTCCATTCAATTATTACTTGCAAACTCGCTATTTTAAAGTAAAATGAAGGAGCAAATTACTCTACTATGGACAATATTACAATTAAGCATTGCGATCACATATATACATAGCTATGTTAGGTAACTTTATAGAATGGAATGGATACATAGTTATGCTAGGTATTGTGGTTAAGAGAGCAAAACTCACAGGTTTTTTTCTTCCCAGATGCCTTCATGGCCATTGCATGTTCTTCAGTAGCCTTTTGGAAAGACCAAGAAAATATACTATTTAGTCAAAGTACCGTAAGCAAATGATTAATGCAGCAGTCATGTTTAATTCTAATGATTATTTGTATGCAATATGGATTGCGCTGAAGATAATAGTTCCTGATAGACAACATTTTCTGAACAATTAGTAACGAGATTATTAGAATTTGGTGATTCAACTAAAACGTTTAGCTGCACTGGTTGCTCAAGATAATGCAACACATAATTGGCCATGGTAGAAAACTAGTTGCGGCAGATATGTACCCACAACGTCTAAAGTTTGACCTTGGGCTTTGTTAATAGTCACTGCAAAACACAATCTAATTGGAAATTGGCGCCTTGTAAATTGAACAGGGTACATCTTGTCATCTGAAGGTTGCAAAGGTATGTGAGGCAAGAACACAATCTTACCCTTACAAGTACCAACCGCTATTTCAGCAACGATCACATGCATGTCAAAGTGACTGCAAATTAATCTTGTTCCATTGCATAAGCCCTCGGAAGGATCTATGTTTCGAAGTAAAAGAATTGGGCAATTTTTCTTTAGCAACAGTCTATGAGGTGGCAAACCAGCAGGGAAAAGAAAATTCAAGAAGTTTTCGTATCGACTTTGTTGGCTTGTATCATCGGTTTCATCAATGCCCAAGTATTCTTCCATATTTCCAGGAAATCTCTTGATCAGTAATTTATTAATGTCATCGATAGTTTCGTTTTTGGGACTTAGTATGGCACAATCCATCATTGATAGGGCATCAATTGAATACTTGTGAAGATGTGGAAAAACAAAGTCAATTAGTTGTTCAGGAGGATCCACAGTTTGAATAGAAGGAAGAATCACAGATAACAGAAATGTGATTTTGCCATCAGAATTTTGAGCTTTTGATCCATTTCCAATGCGAAGCAAGAAAGAACTGAAGATTGGATCATGTCTAGCTCGCATGCTCTCTTGAAGCATGATCTTTTGTAACGAATGCCAAATTTTCGATTTGACAAGGCTTGCATTTATGCATTCGCTTCTTGTAGCTCTGGGAACAACAGGTAAAACTGGCCAAAAATCACTGCCAAAAACCATAACTTTGCCGCCAAAGAGAAGATTTGAATCTATTATGTCTCTTAGAAGTCCATCAACAGCCTCAATGGCCTCTCGTCTTGCCATAGATGATTCATCACATATTATAAGCGAAGTAGCTTTTAGAAGTTTTCCAAGACCGCTTTGTTTGCTAACATTACAACAGTTTGTACCATCAATATCTATGGGAATTTTGAATCGAGAATGGGGGGTGCGACCATTTGGCAAAATGGAGGCTGCAACGCCAGAAGTTGCTGTTGCGAGAGCAATTTTTTGTTGTGTTCTGATCGTAGCTAATAGTGCATGGTAAAGAAATGTTTTCCCACAGCCACCGGGTCCATCTATAAAAAAATATGCTGGTTTGTCTAATTGCACAACTTGTATAATTCTACAATATGCATGCTGCTGTTCTGCATTCAACATCGATACACATGATGGATCTTCTTTAGAAACCACTATTTTTCTCATCCTCAATTTCTTTGCAAGTAACATCTCTTTCATTTATTGGAAGAACTAAATCAGACAAATGAAATTGTTGGATGTTTCTCCCCATAGATTCAAGAGTGGAATTAATATGTTGTAGCACTTTGTACAGCGCTTGTTCTTTGAAAGTGACATCGCTTGTTCTGCCATAGCTTTTTCAAATTTTGAGAATAGTGCTTTTAGATCATTGGGATTGCAACAGGCAAGAATAGTAGCAAAAAGTTGTCTTAGTGAAGAAGGCATCTGGAAGTTTGTAGCTTCATCTAGGCATTTTTGTTGATTGTCATCATCTTCGAGTAAACCACGTTCAAGAGCAGCCTATCTAAATGATTCACATACTATTTTGTTGACTGTTTTCAAGTTTTGAAATGATGTTGGACCTCTTACGGGGTTTAACAACGGTAAATAATAGCGTTCTCCTTCAGTTGGATTTGTGATCACAGTTCTTCCTATAATGGTTTGTTGTTTTCTTTCATACCAGAATCTATCGGTTGGAACCCACACAAATGTTTCGGGAAATTCCCTATACAAAAACTGCCCATCTTTGGCTTTGTTGTTTGTTCTATTCACTACAAAGAACTCTGTCAACATAGTTCTGGAGAAAAAGTCAGAGTTTACTAAGGATTTCAAACTTGAAGTGTTGGTGAAGCTAACCATTTGACAATCATCTAGGTGCAATTGCAAGTTTATCACAGTGGGGTGAATTTCATTAAAAAAAAATTTATATATTTGCCACATTGCTTCAGGAGGTGATATCCATCTTGCCAATTGGTATTGAGCCGTTTCATCAATTTCTTCATGAGCATGTTCTTCAGGTACATTGAATGCTAATATGTCATGGCCTTTGCAAATATATGTGTACAAGTACTTAATGGCCTTAATAGTAGAGCAAATCTCAACATTAATGTGACAATCAAACTTGGCAAGAAGTTATGGGTTATAAGGCACAACCCATGCATTATCTAACAAATGACCTTGAACTTTTATCTCTTCGCCATTGTTGCGACGCCTATAGATCAGATATTTGTCTGTTGCTATGGTTGTTGTAGGAGTGAAGCCCTTTGGATAGTGGTTTTTGCAGGACCCATTTTTCATACAAACGTTAGTTTTATTTAAAAAACCAGAGTGTCCGTGCATTATGTGTTTCACTACCATTGAATGCAAATGGGGATATTTGATAGGGTCTGGCAACTTCGCAGATATAAATGAATCAAAACTTTCAAGGGACTTTAGTTTGTCTATTTTGCAAAATTAGAAGCAAGTGAATATGAGGTAAATCTCTTTTTTTTTGGATTTCAACAACATATGTAAATGCTGCAACAGGACCAAAGAGTTTTTTTTGGATCACTTCTTTTTTCAAATGGTCAAATTTGCTCATAAAGATACGAGTCAAAAGATCTAGTCTATTTTGAGCTTTTTCATTTGGTTGCAATTCTTTTTTTATTTCAGACCAATTTGGATTACAAGTCATGGTTAAGAATATATCTGGCTTTCCAAACCACTGCACTAATGTCATAGCATCAATGTACCGCTTGCGAAGATCTCTAGGACCACCTATGAATGATCTTGGCAAAATAACTCTTCGACCAAGATTAGCGCCCTTTGATTCTCCAAGTGCAAATTGTTGCAGGAGGCGGCCTGATCGTAGCACGAAATAGTTAACGAACAATAGGTGTATTAGTAAAATCTATTTGTATTGCGCACCTGAAGCTTCTGTCGCTAGTAGGTCAGCAGCTTTGGAAGCTTGTCGTGGCGAAACTAAGGATTGGCCTCTAGATTTTTTTGGGGCATTTGGGTAATTCCTTGATGCCATCCTGGCTCACCTCAGGGAAAAGAGTATATTGGATATTGAAGAGGATCGTAGCAGTCGTAATAGTACCTAATCCTCTCAAATCGGCCTTTATGTTTCTGCACAATTATGTCACGTTCTCTACATTCTATAGCCTGGTCATTTTCTTTCCATATCGAACCAACTTGAGAAGCTGTAGGAGCATTATGAGTTCGAAGATCTAGAGTTGGATTGGCTTGGATAACAATACGATGAACATGCAAGTCTGGAACTTCTCACAAATGTCGGAAGAAAACAGAACATGGATTCAAGTTCATAATGTGTATTAGAAGAGCAACAATGGTTGGATCATATAGGTCTTTTGGAATTCTATTGTTGTACAATACAATTTGTCCACTACAACAGCAAAAAGCATCAGGTTCAAGAGAATATTTTTTGGCTCCACGAAAACTACAACATGGTTTACCTGGTAAAATGAAAGGCTCAGTTGCAATCATTTTGTCGATACTTTGAGGTGTCGTGGAAACATATTGGATATTGAAGAGGATCGTAGCAGTCGTAATAGTACCTAATCCTCTCAAATCGGCCTTTATGTTTCTGCACAATTATGTCACGTTCTCTACATTCTATAGCCTGGTCATTTTCTTTCCATATCGAACCAACTTGAGAAGCTGTAGGAGCATTATGAGTTCGAAGATCTAGAGTTGGATTGGCTTGGATAACAATACGATGAACATGCAAGTCTGGAACTTCTCGCAAATTTCGGAAGAAAACAGAATATGGATTCAAGTCCATAATGTGTATTAGAAGAGCAACAATGGTTGGATCTAAGTTGTCGGAAATTTTAAGCCTATTTTCAATTTCATGTTCAGTATCGTAAAAATAGAGTTGTAGGTAGCAAGGCTGATCACTTGAGGGATACAAATAGTTGATGTAATGGTAAACCTGACGTTGGACCCGAAATGTATATATTCCTTTATTTCTTCTTGACAAATCGTTATCAGTGGTAACACCGAACAAAGTGAATGCAAATTAACTATTGTATGCACGGATAAATTTTAAGAAATGATTAGAAGATACAGATTTGCCTAAGAACAAATCATATAGGTCTTTTGGAATTCCATTGTTGCACAATACAATTTGTCCACTACAATAGCAAAAAGCATTAGGTTCAAGAGAATATTTTTTGGCTCCACAAAAACTACAACATGGTTTACTTGGTAAAATGAAAGGCTCAGTTGCAATCATTTTGTCAATACTTTGAGGTGTCGTGGAAACATTGATTGAGTCAGATGTGGAACCTATGAATCATTAATCAATAGATAAAGTATGAGGAAATGTACAAGTTTTGACAAAGGTAGCGAAGCACTATAAACATAATTCAGTAAATTAAAGATACAAAAACGAAAAGATGGTGAAGTCAAAAAGGGCCACAGACCTTGCATCTGTAGTAGCAGGTGCAGAGAAGTTATCTTTCTGTTTTGCTGCTCTTAACTCTTCTCCTTTTGTTGATGCGATCTTTAATTTCTTGTGACAGGTCAGCATATTTTGTTCTTTTTTTTTGGCCTCTAGCTCATAGTTTAACTACATTAAGATCTAATTAAACATAGTAATATATGTAACCATAGTGAAGTACATAAACTTAACCAGATTTTCTCCCCACAAATTGAACAGCTTTGACTTGAAACATCATCAGAACGTGAGAATTACTATAATATAGAAGTGGAATCATGTGTATTCTTGACACAAATGATGTGTATTCTTATATTTGGTTCACTAAAAAAACGATACAAAGCTCCAGAAGCAAATATAGTCCCCAAGTACATTGTTTAATAATGGAGTGTAGAGTAAAATAATGGTGGTTCTGAGAAAGGTTATTGGCTTATTTTGTTTTTTTTTTGCAGCTATCTATATTTGTTGGTGGTTTTGAGTTGGGTGGTTTTATTGCTAGGTTGTCTTGGCTTTGTTTTTAAAATTTTTAAAGTGTTCACAAGAGTGGACCGAATTGATGGACTTTTATGGGTCCATCATGAGATTTATTTTGATAATTCAGTTAGTTTATTTTTAGGTCTTTGCATATAGATCATTTGTAAAAAAAAAAAAATTATATTAATATAATAATTATATTTATACAATTTTATTACATTTTTGTTTTATAAAATTAGATGACAAGTAGTGACGGAATAAACATGTGACCGGGGTCACGAGCCCCCTTAAAGTTTTAATAATTATATTAATACCTTTAAATATATACATATATATATATGTGTGTGCGCGCGCGCACTATAATATTACAATAGCATCCCTTTTAAAATTGTATTAGTGTCCCCATTCAAGAATTTTCTTCTAATCATAAGGATCCTCCTAAAATAAATCCTTCTATTATACACACTACAAAAGGATGTACCATATACAAATTATGACATTGTAATATTGATATTATAAAATGTCATAATCAAATTATTTTCAACCATAACTAAAATGATGACCACTATAAATTATGAACAACCACCACATCTTCGATCATAAAAAAACATAAAAAAAATAAATAAAAAAATCTCTTAATTTAAAATTTACATTTATCCAAATGAACTGTGAATATTTAAGTTTAATAATGTTGTATTGTTATTCATTATGAGAAGGGAAAAAAAATTAATTAAAGTACATTATTGTTTTTTCTTTTCAAAATAAATGTGATGAAATTAAATGAGAATAATTATGTAATCAATTTGATTTGTTTTATGAATGATCTATAAATAGGATCTTAGAAAATATGAATATGAATGATCTTTTTTGATCGGCAAAATGAAAGACTTTATTGATGTTAAAACCATACAAAGTATGAAAAAATACATCAATAAAGAGGAGCTTGGAGCTAAACAAAGCTCCAACCTCCTAGTTGGTGAGAAACCAACAAAGAAAACAAAACCAGAAGGAGCAACAGAACATAGAAAAATAGACTAGAACAAAACAACAATATAAATCAGAGCAGCAAACCCCAACAGTGCAGCAACAGCAAGAGAGGCTCCAACAAACCCCATCAGTACAACAGCATTAGCAATAGAGTGTGTTCACAAGTTATACCCCAACAGATCATGATGCACCAGAACAAAACAACAATATAAACCAGAGAGGCAGAACAACAACATCA